TGTGAAAAACAAGAAAAGAGAAAAAGCACTTCTCTGCATCAAATAGGGCTGCTTTCAAGAATGAGAAACTCTTATAAAACCCGTTAAGGGCAAGTGGGACATACATGTCGTCTAAACTTTTCGTTAACATTTATGGAAAAGGTACGAGTAGAAGTAGGCTTCTGGCATAGTACACATAGTCTGAATAGAATGTTTGTCACCGTGAAATTGTTCTTTCAAGCCAACTCAGCAGGAGAATTTGTCCAAATGAATGCTGAAGAAAGCGACTTGGAATGGTAAGAGCATGGTGGAACGCCGAGGATATTGCATGACAGGATAGTATGATATCATTTAGTGCTAAACTAATTTGGGTAAAATTGCATGACCAACTTTAGGAGAATTTCACTTAAGGCGAAAGTAAGAAATAATGCAAGGAAAAGTTTTCGGGGTTACCATATGGCTTTGAAATATGTATCTCATTGAAGAACACGGAGGACAAGACTGCCAGAAGAGTTTAAACTGAAGCCGAAATTATCCTTCGAACGTCTCCTTTAGAGAAACAGAATCACTTTTTTCGAAGACATTTGAAATCTGCACAAGATTCAATAATACGTATGATTCCAAAGTCTGAGGAAAAGTTGAATAGGATTTTAATTCGACAAGAATTCTCTAACTTCTACAAATTGTAAAATTCTTAAATATTCTAACATACGAATGACGACACAAACAATGACAAAGTGGAATAGAGGCTCAAAGTTAATATCAGCCTTCTAGTTTTTAGACAGAGCACTACTTTACAATCGTGCAGTTGTTCTTGATCCATGGATTTCGAAAGACAAGCATTTTATTGGGAGGTGCGGCTAAATTTGTGAAATGTTAGCCATTTCATCATTTGAAAAAGAGACAAGTGAGAAAAAGAGGATTAATCATTATGCAAAATGAATGTCATCATCAAGTTTTCAGTTAGTAAAAAAATATCTTGTTATTTCACGGTTAGGTTTCGCATCATGCAGATCTAAAGACTCATTGCTCATCATAATTTACGATTTATGATTAAGTGGAGTAAGAAGAAGGACATAAAGTTATAATAAAATTTTTAAGCCATATATACAATGACGTAAGAAAAAAAAGAGATGATACGATTGCAGAAACTAACATTCTGTAGACGGAAAATAAAAAATTATATCGAGTTGAAAGAAATTTCTAAATTTTATTTGTAGGTATCGTCTTCAAAGCCCTGAGACTAAAGTGTTTCTACTCTTTAGTCATACTTCCATTATCTTAAAGTAAA